AGGAAGAATACAATAATTTCTAGAAAAATTCACCTCATTTGTTTTTTAATTTCATTTGTGAGTTTTTTTTTTGTTTTCGATTGATGATAAAATTATAATAGAAAGAAATGGAGTTTTCTTAGCCCACGGGAGTAATCATTTTGCAAATGAGCACCATTAACTTTCTGAACTTGCATTATTCTCTCTCACATATACTCTATTTTGTTATTAGTTCTTTTTTTCTACCAACCCTTGTATTATTTTTAATGATCCAATCAGATTATTCAAAAATACATCTCAAAGTACACCAAGTGACATTTACTATTTAAATTGAATAATAACTTGGATCTAGGCTATATAACTTCACCACCAAAAAAGAGAAGTATAATTTTATCAAAAAGATACCAAAATAAGTACGTACCGCATGCTTATGTATTGTTGGCATCACTATATTATTTGTATTTTAAAAGGATTACTTCTCTTAAAACACAAGTAAACTTAAGATATGAGATAACTAAAAGGATTTGCGGCTAAAAAGCCATTAGTATTTATATTATCAAAAGTGCTTTTCTGTTAGCTAACCGTATAGTATAGGTAATTAGCTTTACATATCATTACATTTACATGTGATGTGGGAAACTAAACACATCACATCTTGATATTATTATTTAAAAAAAAAAAGTTAACGTCAAATCCTACTATATTTTATAACCACTGTTTTTCAACCGATCGAATCTTATACACTCCGTGTAAAATTCGCACCAATTGTTAGCGTCGAAGGTGTCTGCAACCAAAATTGACCATTTTATCTACTTTTATAAGATATAGAAAATTGATTGATCAAAAAAAAAAATCTTAGACATTCCGTGTAAAGTTTGATTAAAAAAAAAAAAGAATATTGATTGATATACTATATAGAACTCCTCAAAACAATCCAGTAAATAAGCCTAATTTCGCTCAAATAAGGCAAACCGTTAGGTAGTAATCAGGATAGATAAAGTTAATAATTATTTAATTAACATACACAACATTTGTGTAAATATATGAGAGAGTATTTGATATTTCACCAATCAATGATTTAAAGTAAATCAAACTGTAAACTAAAGGAACATTTTTAAAGTCGGAAGACCGAAAAAGACAAGGTATACATTTTCACATAATGTGACTCATCATAACTAAGTTTTTTTATTTTTTGAATTCGCATTTTTTTTATGTTATTGTAGTTTTTCTATAAAATGTTACTATGATAAATCGATATTATAACAGTGTTGGATCACTTTTACATGGTAAAAGAAAGCGACGTTTACAGTAATTCTTCATAATTAAAAATCCTCTCTACTTGCTAATAAAGTTTGATTTTGTTAATCAGATAGATGATCTTGTCTTAATCTCCTTGTCTATGTCTAATCATTTCCATTATACTGTTGGTTCCCCTGCTGTTTTGCCCTCTTATTTACCAAATTTTGCCACACCAAATTTAACATCATTTGTGAAAAAAATAACCAAAATTAAAGTGTTTCTTTTAATATCCAAATTAAAGTGAAATTTATTAAAAGCCCTAAATATCGAAGACTAACAAATATTAATTATTCATGAGAAATTTAAAAAAATACCACTTTTAAAAAAAAAAATCCATTATATCACTTATGTTTTGGTTAACTATGTTGTATTAAGATTTAGTTTTGAGGGTTTTAGGGGTTTTATGAGTCAAAACATTTTTTAGGATTTATAATTTTAAGATTTAGGCTTCAAAATCCATAATTAATGGTATTTTTGCAAATGGACACATTTTAGTGGTATTCTTGCAAATGCCCCATTATTCATATGACATTATATACCAGAGATTTCTTTCACAATTCCATTTTACAAGAGAAATTGAGTTTTGAATACTTAAAATGTCAAAACACAATATAAGATTATAATATCGATATGATTCAGTCACATAGCTAATAAATTAAGATAATCGTCCTACCAAAAAAAATTAAGATAATCTATATAAACTTTAAAAATTAAGATAATCGAACAAAACTTTGAGCTTTAGTTAAGTCCGAGTGTTTGAAGCACCAAAAAAAAAAAAGTCCGAGTGTTTGAAATGGTTCAGTCACATATATAGCTAAAGTGTAAACTAGCTATAGGGTATTTCCAAGAATCAAATGTTGAGATAAGCACATGATGCAACATAGAATTAGGATAATTTTCATTTATTTGTTTTAATTATACACATTACTTTAATGTTTATCTTTTAGGATTCGTAGAATATTCCATAGATTTCTAGGATTATTAAAGTTTTTTTATAAATAGCCTACTAAGGCTTCCTATTGTAATCAGTTGATTTTATTAATAAAATTAAAGAGTTTTTAGCTTTTCAGAGAAGAGTATTCTCGAACCTTGTTTTCAGTAGATCCAAAGAGATCTCAATGAATTCATGAAAGCATTGATCTTAGGTATTCTCAGACTAAATAAGATATTTGTATTATCTTAACTTCTGCTACGTCAGTTGGTATCAG